CTGGCGATACGAAATAGTGTTGCCAGAGATGGCAGACGCCTCACTGGGGCGCAAAACGCACCGGCCAAGCCGAGTTTTAGTAGTTGCCTTTATCTAAAGAAAACCAGCAGCGAAACGGCAAGTAAACACAGTTGTTTTTACGCTGCTAGTTGTAATAAGAGCCTCATCATCGGAATATCTGTCTCTTTGCCCCTTTTTGTCAAGAAATAATCCTTCTAAATGTTAGAATTGACCGAAATCATCTTTAAAATCGCTTGAACATCCAAATTCCGAGTATACTGAAGCAAAACCAGACATTGAGTACCGTATACAAAGCATTTTTTCTGTGCCGAACTTCTTGTCTCCTTTTTCTAGCTGTCAGTTATACACATACAACTCTGAACAGACTTGCGTGAAAATATTTTCTTTCTTGTAGGTACCGTTCAGTAATAGCTACGTTCAGTAGCTTTAATGAAAACATCTCACAAATCAAATTTTGATTTCTATCATGTTCTTACTACATGTCATAATTCAGATAGTACAAACTTATTTTTCCACATGGCATTAAGAGGAACTTTAAACAGCGAATGAGTAAACTGCTTTTTCTGCCATAAATGGGCTTTTTCTCTCACATTTGTTGGTAACCACATTTCTTTGAGTTAGTAATAAAAAACTTAACAGCAACACCAGGAATATCGGTGCCGAGAAAGTGAACCTTCTCGAGAGAAATTAGGAAATGTGATTCCAAATCATTTCAGTTCACTTATAATTTGTATCATTAGTACATGTGAATTTTTGTGTGAGACGTTGTTCGCCCCATTTCTATGTTATATTTTGTATAAGTTCTTTGGATGGGACAAATATTCGAGCTATCACCTCAATCAGCCAGTGGTCCCGACCAAGGGCCTCTTGGTTGCAGGAGCCAGCATCAACAGTTCACAAGTGTTCGCAACGGCTAAACGAGCTTGCCTTTTTGCTCTTTTTATGCGTTTTTGCATATATGCAAATGCGAAAATTGTGCGTTTTTGCACATATGCAAATGTGAAAACGCATGTTGTGACGACCCATGGTGTGTGCTTGTGTGTGTGTCTGTCCGAGTATTTTAACTCGGCACCCAAGCAACCTCCGGCGCCAAAATTTTACCTACGGATCCCCCGATCAAGTGCCACCCCAGGACCGCGGCGTCAACTTCCACGCAGGTCTGGGCGCCGCGTACAAGAGAGTGAAACTTTCGGCGGGAAAGTCGCTAACTCGGGAGCCATAAAAGCTAGAGAGCTGAAACTTTGTAGTTATGTTCTCCGTCCAAATAGAACACAAAGATTTCAAATCCAGCCTCCAGGCAAGTGTGGTTCTCATGTACGGCCTCATGAAGGTTCCTGGCGAGAAAATCGCTAACTTGAGATCCAGGAAAGCTGGGAGGCTGAAATTTTCAGGGAATGTTCCCAGTGTAAGTACGACTTTAACAAATTCAGCTCCCAGGCATCCGCGGTTATTGCGTGTAGCCCCGTGAAATTTTTTGGCAGGAAAATGGCTAATTCGGGAGCCAGAAAAGCTGGGAAGCTGAAATTTTCAGGGAATATTCCCGGCCTACTTACAACTTAAAGTTACTAAAAAAAAAGATACTTGAGAACCACTGTGTGTGGTTCTCAAGTACGGCCCTGTGAAAGTTTTTGACGGGAGAATGGCTAACTCGGGAACTAGGAAAGCTGGAAAGCTTAAATTTTAATGGAATGTCACCGCTTAATCGCCAATCACCGCTTAATAATTAACTTCCCGAGCTTCACATTCTAGCTACTGGGTTTCCGAGCGGCCTCATTACAGCGCAAAAGACTGCAAAAACGCTTGATCACACAGATCCGCGCGATGCGCGTCGCCAATGACTTGAAACTCTTCGACAATATGGATAGTCGTTGCGCCACAGTTTCACGTGTGCAATCGTGCCAGAAATGTTGTTACTGGTCATTTCTTGCACCTGGGAAGATAGCTATCGAATTAGCCTATGGTGTTGCACTGCGGTGCCTCTTAAGATCCTGGTGTTCTTGCGTTTTTATCTGTTGGAGGAGGAGTATCCTGATACTTCTGCAAATGGAAATTTATCGTGCTAGAACACGAGGCGCAAGCCGGCACATGGGCAACAACTATGCTTATAAAAATACGGCTTTATGCTTAGGTTGGTTGTTGAGTTATATGGTGTTGGCTTTCATTTGCGCCCACACGTGACGAGGGCATGCCTCAAAGCTGAATCTAAAATGTTTATTTTGCCAATGGGCGGCGAACATTCTTATAAAATTTCTCCTTTTTGCCTTGACTGGATTCAAAACTCGGTTCCCGCCAAAAACGTTTTTGACGTGTGAGTGCACGTGACATAGACACACGTGAGGACTGGACTTAAAATTGTGGGACTGCATATGGCCAAAAAATATTCTTGTAGAATTATGGCCTCCTATCTTCTCTGTTTTTAAGTTGAAAATGTTTGACAAAGTACGAATACACACATACATATACACACACTGAAGCCTTTCAAAAGTGTGCGGTTTGGCAATTCATCAATGATGCAAAAAAAATGTGCAAACGGAGAATTTCATTAAAATCAATTATGTGCAAATTTATCAGCTGTGCTCAAGCGTTATTTAAATGCGTTATTTTTGGAAGACCTCCGGAATGAGACAGCTGTTATTACTATAATCACTCATGAGAAGTCTTTCGGATCAATGACTTTATAATCACGGCAAAAGCATTCAAAAATGTTACGAGTTATAGAAGAAAACTACCAGAAAGCACTCAGCTGTCAAACGGTACCCTGAAATCATGTTTTGAAATATAACTCGAAATTTATAAAAAAGCTGCTGCCAAAAAACGCCCACCTACCCTAACAATAACATAAAATTTGAAAAATCTTTCTCAACTATCCAGAAGTTGCTTATAATAGAATGTGTTCAGAATATTCGTCATCGAAGAAGTTATGCCTTTTAACAAAGCAAGTAAACAGCAAGCAAGTAAAAATTTGCAGAAAATTCAAGAACTTTCAATTTTTCAATCAATGCTCAGTGTTGAAATCAATGGTTTTTTCTTTTTTTCTTGCGACCGGATTTTTTCTCATTCTTATCCTTGTCAGGTTTTGGTGTCTGACTGACCACGTTAGGTTGATTATTGGGGTTATTCGGACTGGGTGGTCCATAAGGTCCGTTATTGTACGTAGAAAAGCTGTCATATGGACCAGGAAAACCGCATGTGCAGCTGTGTGGAGGGCTGACACTACCCCAGCCGTAATTAGGTTCACCGTTATTCCATGGGTTCCAGCTGTTGTAACCGGTGTTCCAGGGATTTTGGTTTTGCCCGCTCCAGCTAGGTCCTTGATTCCAACCCCACTGTGGCTGATTAGTGCTAATGTACCAGGGTCGCTGTGGGTCACCGAACGGTTGGTTGCCACTGATACCATACCACGGTTGCTGTTGATTGTTATCACCACCAGCCCACGGTGGTTGCTGATTGTTGCTACCAGCGTTCCACTGAGGCTGCTGACCGCTGCCACCAAAATTCCATGGCTGAAACTGCTGAAAGTTGCCACCAGCACTCCATGGTGGTTGTTGAATGCTAGGCCATGGACCTCCAATTCCGTTAAGTGCTGGACTATTTCTCTGTTGCTCTTCCGGCTTCAAGCGGACTTCTCGCTTTGCACGTAAGTTCCAAGCTCTTGGTCCCACTTCTGTCTGAAACTAAAACTAATTGAGCATTGGGACGAAGAATAAATGCGTACTGTGAGACACAACTTAGTGAAATAGTAATATTTCGAAGTATGACTGCACATGTGATTTAATAGAATATTATGCATTGTTTTGCTAAAATTTCTTCTACCAGATCAATCGTTGTTTGAAAAATATGGACATGTGAGTCTATTCGGCAAAATTTGTAAGGAAAAAATAGTTCATTTGCAAGCTTTCCATATATGCTGTAGGCGCTGTAACTCGAACGTATCATCAATGGACAATAGGAAAACCATGGAAACCGAGAACAAAGCTCATACAAGAACTGAGACAACAATAATGAAGGAAACAAACGAATTTTGAAATTATTTATGTATCCTTTCTATAAGATCTAACTGAAATTTTAGACAGGTGTTGCACACGCCATTACAATTCTTTTGAGGTTTCAGTGAATATGGTGCAACTTCAACAAAGATCAGATTCCACACTAGCATTCCAAGCAGTGTTGACAATTCTGGTGGTGGGCAGTCAGCTGCTGAAGATGATGTGCACAAAGAAACCTAGAAACAGTGCCACTAATTTTTATTTATTATTAAATTTAGTGAGGACGACAAGCTGAAATCACTGCGCACTTATTTTTGCAACGAACAACTGAATTAGAACCTTTTCAAGATTAATGCTTGGTTTTGCAGTCGCAGCTGTACAAAGCAGCGATAATAATCTGTAAAAAAATTAAATAATTGTACGCTTTTACAAAACAATTTTTATGCGTCTTTTGCAGCAATACAATGCGAAAAACGTATACTGACGAGAGGTTGTCTGTGTGTTCGTGTGTCTGTGTGGGCGTCTGTCACGCACTTTCATCTCAGGACCTATAAAAGCTGCGGGGCTGAAATTTCGGG